AAAAGACGCTTTTAGTCCGAGGTTATGATTTGCCCACCTCTACTTTAAGTGGTCATTATCAAGAATAAACACTTCCATTCATTCGAAAGAATTGAGAAAGAAATTCTTGAAATGAGATAACGTGGCGTTAGTCTCACACTGTTCGATATGTTATTTTCTGACCCAGCGAGAGACACTGCGGCATTTGCGTTTTCCTAACAACATGTTAGTAAAATGTGAATACTTTACCATAAATTTGGAAGATTTACGAATAGGAGGGAGAAAGCTTGACTTACTTTCTGTTGTCTTACCGACTGAAAAAAAAAACAGGTAATTGACGACGCTAATACTAGTCTTACTGGGAATACTTTAAACTGAGGTTAAATCCCGTTTTGGTAAAGTACGTATGACTCTGGTTAGATTAAAATTGCTGAATTTATATCATCTTCGGGAAGGAATCCTTGTGTTGATAACAGGTTTGGGCTGGCTGATAGTTTTATACTTGCATATTTTTACTTTAAACTCTCACCAAATGGTGAGGTAGAGTAAACTTTTAGTTCTGTCTGTTCTAGTGCTTTAAGCCTGCTTGTTTGTGCGAAAATGACCACAAAATGAAGGTAAATATCAAGGAAAGTATTTGTAAGTGAACATTGCAAACAAAGAAAAGTATACGTTCCGATTAACTGGTTCAATGGTTCCAAAATACCGTTTATAACAGCACTGCGATTTTTAGTTTGGCAGTAACGAAAAATTGTATAATCAATGGGTTGATCAATTGGCTGTGTAAAGCCAATGTTGAATTACATGTAACTTGATGTAAAGTCCTCTTTATTTCTGTTGTTACTGTTCTAGATAATTAACTGGTGTACCGATCTTGTACTACCTTCGGATATCCTCCTGCCCTTGCGCTACTTATGGATAAAAAAGTATCGGCAATTGCCTATAATTGATCATATTAACTAACAAAGGAAATACTGAAAATTTTAGCTCGACATAACGAACGCAGGAGGTAATAAACACACAAATCTAATGAAACTTCCAATTTAATATGCCTTTTACACAAAATATACAGCAAAAGCGTAAATTTCCATGTCAAAAAAGTATTGGCGAAGTTCTAACTGCTATGCAAATTTTGTTATGTTAAGTTACTGATAAGAAACTTTGTTTGTATAAAGTCTGCATTGCTACTTCAAAACTTTTAAAATTTTATTTTGCTGGGATAAAATGGCTTCGAAGTCAAAGAAGTTTGATGCTAATGTTAGAAACATAATTATTTTGTTCAAAAATGAAGGTTTAACTCATTTCTGCAAGGGAAAACGTGGCAATATTAAAGAGGTTATGAAAAACCCTAAAATAATTGCACCCCAGTTAGCCAATGATGTTGCTAATACTTCGCATAAAACGTTTAGTGTACAGACTATATGGAATGTCTAAGATGGAGGAAGTTATTATGGAAGGGCATCTAGAAAGAAACCTTTCATTTCAGAAATAAACAGGAGAAATGGATTCGATTTTGCAAAATCTCATTTTAATTTATGAGACGAATTTTGGAATACTGTTATTTTGTCCGACGAATCGAAGTTTAACATTTTCAAGAGTGATTAACGACAATATGTGGGGAGAATGCCTAACACCGAACTTTCAAAACAACATTTAACACAGACTGTAAAACATGTTGGAGGGAGCGTGGTAGTTTTGGGCTGTAGGGCAGCACAAATGGAATTGGTAACCTGTGTTTCATTGATGGTATTATGACAGCACGCACACGTACATTGACGTATTGCCTCATAACATGAAATTCAGTGCCCAAAACCTTGGCTTAGGAATATCATTTGCGTTTCAGCAGGACAATGATCCTAAGGATGCAGTTAACCTAGTCTGGCAATAGCTACTCTATAACGTTCTTTGCTAATTAAAGACGCCACCCCAATCGCCGACATAAATTCTTTTGAAAATTTGTGGCACATGTTGGACCTAGAAGTCAGGAAACATAAAATTTCGTGTAAAGATGAACTTGAGCGTATACTTAAGCGTGCAAGAATGGCACAAAATTCCTAACAGGACTTCTTCAACAACCAGGACTTGGGTTTTCTCTATGAGAAATAAATTACAAACTCTTATAGATGCAAAAGGTGTCAATACAAAGTATTAAATTTTGTTCCCGCATCTTGCTGTATGATCTTGCCAACACTTTTTTGACATGGAAGATTACGCTTTCGTTGTATATTTTGTGTAAAAGGCATATTAAAACGAAAGTTTCATTAGAGTTGCGCAATTATTTCCTCCTGTGTTCTAAAATTGTCAAGCATTTCCTTTGTTAGCTAAATATGATCAATTATATGCAATTGCCAATACTATTTTTACCCACTGTATATCTTCGGAAATGAAATATATGTGTTAAATCATTCCAACTGATGGAAGAGAACGTTCAAAAGCACTGGACATCTATCTAAACCAACAATCAGGCCGTAATAAGACAATGATAAACAGGGAAAGCCAACTTGCGTAAATACACTAGCACCTTCATACAGGTTGACCATTTTACGCTGAGGTACAAGGGTGTCTTGTCATTAGGACACAAAGATTCGAGGAGCCGGTTTTGAAGAATACCATATTTATATATCATGAAGAATACTACCTTCCTCAAGATTCCGGGATGCTAGTGTCAAGATCTAAGCGAATAATTGCCAATTTAAATAAAGATGCCGAACTTTTCAAGTTATTAGTTGTGCATCAAGATATAAAGAGTGCCTGAACTTACTTAATGTACACTGCTGGCCACCCAAATTGCAGCACCAAGAAAAACAAGAGATATCACAACAAAATTTATTTAGTAGATAACATGTTGACCAAGTATCTAATGATTAAATTTATAGACTTCTGTGAAATGTGGTTCTTTCCAGAATTAGTAGCCAGAGTAGCCGCCATTGTTGGAGATTACCACTACCACACGCTTCGGCATTGATTCAAAGAGACTTTGGCTGTGTTCTTGGGGTACAGCAAACCAAGCAGCTTCCACATGTTGCCAAAGTTGATCTGGTGTGGCAGCTTGGAATGTAATCTGGGTCAATCGTTCAGCAACCATGGGCCACATATTTTCTATCGGCGAAAGATCCGGAGAGCGAGCCGGCCAGGGAAGCAATTCAATCTGGCTATTGATGAAGAACACTTGAACAATGCGTGCCACGTGTGGTCGCGCATTATCCTGTTTAAATAGGGCTGTGGGCAAGCCCTGAAGGTAAGAAAGGAAAACTGGCTCCAACACTTCGAAAATGTAGCGCTGGCTGTTTAAAGTACCGGCAATGCGTATTAGAGGAGTGCGAAAGTGATATCCAATACCGCCCCATACCATAATACCCGGTGCAGGACCAGTGTGGCCGTGCATAACGCAGCTGTTCAGCATCCTCTATCCACGGTGTCACCAGACTCGAATCCGACCATCGTGGTGTTGCAGACAGAAGCGTGACTCGTCAATAAAGACAATTTCCTTCCATTCTGCCGTCCACATCCTTCTTTCGTCGCACCATTAGCGGCGGAGACGTCTGTGGTTCTGCTTCAAGGGTAGACGAAGCAATGGACGTCTTGCGGACAGACCATTCCGCTGTGAACGGCATCGAATGGTACGCGCAGACACTGGATGATGCGTTACAGACTGAATGTGCTGTGTTATGGTTCGTGATGTGACTGACCGATCCGTCACTGCCATGCGCACAATGTTCCTGTCATCACGTGAAGTGGTGCACTGAGATGTATGCGATCGAACACGTCGGTCCGTCGTACCCTCCTGCATTCAACGGTCACATATCCGCATTACAGTTGTTTGGTTTCGTCCAACACGACTACCGATTTCCCTGAAAGATAATCCACACTCTCGGTAGGCCACTATCCTTCCTCTGCCGAACTCGGATACTTGATCAAACGATGATCGCTGTTTACTACAAGGCATAATCGATTTTTTTTTTAACCACACACACACACACACAAGAAAAAAAAATTGCCGAACTTATATTATAGCGATTATATTTAATAGCACTTAATATTATGCTTGTAAAAGTAACAATTTCGTGTAATTTTATCAGTTCCTTATCTGATTTCTTATCCTTACATTGCCGCACATCATGCTGGTATTTCGTTTACATTTTAAATATTGTTACTAATTATGTATGTATATAAATAATTTTAGTGAAATTATACGTGAAATTGTAGTATCTTTTGTATAACGTAACGTGAAATGCTTGAAAAGGCGAAATGTTGCCGGAAACATAAGGTTGCAAGGACAAGTCCTAGGTTACAAGGTTACAGAGTTAAGTAAGGTTACAGGGGCATTAAGGTAAATAGTTTTCTCTGTAAGTTGGCGAGATATCGTCAAGCTGGGGATGGGTTTCGCTACTAAGTCTTGTTACCATATTTATCGAAGAATCTCCAAAAGCCTACAAATTTAGCGATAATTTGTCCCAGTTCCTACGTAACTATAATTTCATCTTATATGTAATTGCAACGGTATCTGGTCCTTATGTGTAACATTAACCGTATATGCCTTCCAGCAGTTTCGAGAAATGGAAGATACGAGATTTTTTGTCGGCCTGGCAAAACCTATGTACACCCGGACAGAGCGTCAGTTCTCTGTTTAAGTTCAGACTTGACGTAGGAGTACTTAGAGATCTCCGTGAGATTCGCCTTTTAAATGCGCTTTGCATTGCGCCGTGTTTAACGTTCTTAGCAGTTTGAAGTGTAGCTGCTGATTGTACTATGTGATGCTGAAAACAGCTGTACCAGTATTTTTGTAGGAAGTTCCAGAACTAAAGTGTTTCTCATGGAAAAATATATTTTATCAAGTTATCATCGTTTCAGTGTGCATTCAATCCATTACAAACCTACGCACGCAACAATATTTTTCATACCGTGTAAAAGCTTACATTGAAAGAAATCAGAGCTTATGATGGCAAAAAAAATACAGTGCAAATGCATCCGCAGCGAATGCTGTTGATATTATAAAAGACACCTTTTTGTTTAGTACTTACCCTTTGTCTGAGTTCTCTTTCAGATTCGAGATCTTCTTGAAGGAGTCTAATTTTATCCTAAAAAGGAAAAAAAAATTACTTGAAATTTTTTTTTTCGTAAGAGATACGTAAATTCATTTATTATAAAGTTATATGCGTAAAAATACATTAACACAATAAATACGCTTCTAAAATAATTTTATTAACAAATTTAAATCTTTGTACTTTCACTTCAAGCTCCCTTCTTTCTCAGCTAAAATTGCTATATACAAACTTTATTTTAAAATACGTTAGCTTCTATTAATAATACTCGTATTCCTACATCGAACGGAATATTACCTAAAACAGTATATACGGTAGCGATTTAAAACTCTAAACGACACACATTTGTATTTCAAAAAGAAATTGTGTGATGTATAAAAGCGAGAAAATATTTTTCTGTTTACTCGGCATTCTAAGTGAATAATTCTTGAAAGTAGCTGTACTTTCCCCAAAGGTTTGAAAAATCTTACTACCAGAACGGCTTTTTCAGAGCAATCCAACACGTTTAGAAATTCTAAATAAATATTGTACAACCTAAATTTAAAAACCTGAGTAGCTTGAATTAAGTGCAAGATAAAGGTAAAAATCAGCAAGATTGGTCAACTTTAATTCACAGTTTTAATATCAATTCATGTTTCCCAAAATTTTTAGGAGCCTCATCTCATAATTTTTCCTGCCCACCAGCGGCCGAGCGGTAAAATCGCTGAACACTGGTCGTTCGGTCCGAGGTTCGAATCCCGCGAACGGGCTGGCTGCATGGGCGTTTTCGTGGTTTTCCCCATGTGTAACGTGTATACGAGCCAGTTTCCCTTAGAAAGTCCTCCACGAAGGCATCCCACCTCTTAAGCAGATAGCCCTCGAGGCTTTGCCATAATCACACACACACACTCGTAATTTTCTAATTTTCGTCATTTTTCTGTTCGTCCTATAAGTGATGCACAGTTCTTTCTTCTTTTTTAATTGTTTTTTGTACTTCATTTATTTTATTTTACTTATTTCAACAAGCTGGCAACAGTGTATGTTTACTTCTTTACAATGCGTATATTTTTTTCCGTAAAACTGATAATAAAATATTTCTGTAGAATATACAAATCTGTTGAACGATGAAGGATAAACTTCTAGTTCACAGTGCACTTCTTAAAAATTTATATACTTCTGCAATGTATATTGAATTGAACTGTATATTATTATTCTACCCCAAAGCACAAGAGCGCTATCTGTGAAAGAGGAGGAATGCCTGTATGGAGGATTTCCTAAAGGAAATTGGCTCGTATTCGCGTTACGAATGGGGAATATAAAAAATATCTACAAAGGCAGCCCGTTCACTAAGACATGAACCCAGATCGAATTACCTTTGGTCGTAGCTGCTTAGCCCTGAAAATTCGATCCAGAAAAAGATAGGGGCCCAGTTAATTTCGATGGTTTTTCAAAGCAATTTGAGGGCAACAGACCTTAGATTATAAATTAAAGGGTTTTTAGATGATATCAGTTAGATAATATACTTAAAAAGTAAAATAAAGATCATAAATATTAAAAAAGTAGTAGCTAAGGTAACGATTGATAGTAATGACATTTCTTTGTAATCTCTCAGTTTAGAAAGTAGTTTAATTTTAAAATATCTGAAAGATTTTGTATTACGACTACTGACAAAACAATAGCAATTGGCTGTTTGCCAACCCTTATGGAAGGTAAATTAAAAACGTTATGTTTCAAACAACAGCAAACGCAAGAGTGATGAATGGCAAGATAAAGCAATAACGTAACGGCTCATAAAATTCCGACAGAATTTTTTAAAAGATATTTCTCACGCCAAAAATCCTTTCCTCCAGATTCAGCGCAGAGGTTGTTTTGAGATAAAAATTTGCAAGTTTGTTATGTATATTATCCAAATTTGTGATTCATTTAAATAACAGGTACATACGTATTAATGCAACCACCTTAGTAGATTTTCACTCAGCAGATTTTCACAATGTGCCGAACTCTGGCAGCTATGCGGGTAACCATTCTTCTAGCAATCATGCTCAAACAATCGTTTCAGTCAAGCAACGCCGATATTCTCATAAGCGTTCTTTTTCGTTGTATTCCATGTTCAAATGGTTTTAATAAACAAACTGTGATATTTTTTACCCAAAGCTTAGTTTTAAAATATGAACTAGTGGAATTTGCCAGCAAAGGAAGAAACTACAGTAAAATCTCGGCAGGAATACAGTGTTTTGCTGAAAATTTTCAAACAGGAACAATAGAAAAATGCGTTTCCTAGATAGCCGCTGTTGCCAAGGGTTGCCCGAAGCCGAATCTCCTAAACTCTCTGATCTTTTTTCAAGAGGAAACAGATCGCTTTATACTTCGAGAGAAGAATCACGTAAAAAAATTACAGAAAGAGTTGAAGAAGAGTACAGGTATTTTACTTTTTAATATCCCGCGTAATCCTTATTTAATAATTCAAATTTGTACTTAAAATAGCTAAGGCATGTTTCCTTTTCATGTTTCTAAGAAAAGGCGCGAAAGCCACCAGCTTGCACCCGATAAATAGCTTTTACGTTTGCATACATAAAAAATCGCAAAGCTGCGCAGAGGTGGTTGCTTTAATATGTAAGCACCAAATATAACATTTATGTTTATATATTTGGAAATATGCAATATATGTCTTTTTACAGCTTTCTTGACTTATTATATAAATGATGTCAGTAAGGACTTATTCGTTTAGAAAGCCTTTCCACTTTTTTTTTGAGCCATTACGTTACCGAACATTATACTGTGATAACAATTGTTATCCATGCGACCATCCCATAAAACATAAGATTCTTACTTAATATCCTACACCAGGGCTGCTTAAACCTTTTTCAATCGCGACCCGTTTTTATCACTGAGATTGGTTTCGCAACCCCAGGTATTAAATATAAAATAAAGATATAAAAATAAATATCCTCCCATAAGTAATTTACTTCTTTGGTAAACAGTATACATATAAAAATAATATTTTAGGATTCGTTTTAAGCAAACAAAAGTTAAATAAAATTTTTAATGAGACAGATGTACTCGTTTTCTGCTGCATAACGAATTAAATGTTGGTGCAATATTCGACACTGCTGAACATAAAATACCTTCAACATGTTTTAACATTGAAAGACATTTGGTTTTAATTAGCGTTAAAGCTGAAAAAGTAGTTTTATAAATATATTTGGTGCTGAATGACAGAAGAACATTTAATGCCACTTCGGAAATAATGAGAAATCTACTAACTCCGATCCAGAACTCATCAACGATTTTTGTGAAAACTCAAGTTTTAGATTTGAATCGCTAGATAGCTTTACAAATTATTTTGCACTTTATATAACAAGTAATTAATCTCATTAATATTAATAAATGTAATGTCTTTATAAGTTTAATCTCATTAATGTCAATTATGTAATTTCTTTAAAAAAAGTCTCATGAATGCAGTTTCTTTAAATTCAACTATCGAACTTAGTTTAAGAAACTATCGACCCGTAGTTTAAGAAACACTGCCCTACACGGATTGCAAACAGTCAGTTCTCAGAGTGCTGTAAGATCTTCATTTTATATTTCAAATTATAACTGCTTAACAAAGAGTGGTTTAAATCTAATTACCATATTCCTCAATAATTTTAAATCCCTATTTTATATTTTTAATAGTGTACCTAATTGTTATCACTGAAAGTGCATTTAATTTGTAGTATGTGCAGCTAATAGTTTTTGTGAATATTTTCCCCATAATTTTAATTAACAGAAGATTAAAACATATATTCTCTATGATAACAATTGTTATCCATGCGACATCACACATTACATAGCTTGATACAGGAAAAGTTAGTTTTAAAACTGAACAGTGAAACAAAATTTAATATTTGCGTTAAGATGTCATGGTATTAGACCTTTTACTTTAAAAATATCTGGCACTATTTTGTTCGAAAGACAAGTTAAATAAAAATTAAAATTAAAGTAATACAATTCTACTATAATGTCATTTATTGAGCAAAATTGGGAAAAAAGGATTAAAATCATCTAATAAGACTGCATAAAAATTTGCGAAACTTCTACCAACTTCATGCAAAATTATTGCGACTGTATTACTACTTAAAGGTTACTTAAAGGTCATTAGAGAGTTTCGAAACTAAAGAAACTTAAATATTGATAGAACCCACCCCACCGCAGAATGTATGGTCGTATGCTAAGAATGTATGGTCGTATGCTTGGATGATATTAGGATTTTCTTCATTCGTATACCAATCCCTATTTCAAGATGCTAATGGCGGAGCATGAAGTATCATGTACAAATTATAATTCATAGAATGATTAAGTTAGACCAAGATATTTGAATATGAGAGTCTTCTTAGGGAAATTTCTATTGAAACCTGGCTTACATTTATTCACATATAGGAGAAAACACAGAAACAATAATTTCGATCTCTTGGATCGAAACCTGGTAGACTCTTAGATTTAATAGACTTACCAATCGGCCATGGGTGGAGCTAACTGATAGAATTTCATAACTGTAACTGGTACATCACACAGTAAAGAATATGCCATGCGCAAAATACAATTGATCGAATATGCAAACTACAATTGTTAATGATTTAAAGTTAAAATTGTTATGATTGCACGAGTTACAATTGTTAATGATTTAAAATTAAAATAGTACAATTTGTTATAATTATTAAGAAATTTATATTAGTTATGCACTATTGAAATCTTTAAGCTCAGTTTACATAGCGCACATTTCTTATTGTGACCAAAGAAACGAAGACTATAGGGGTGTTATTTCTAGCTGTGTTCAGTAGGGCTGTTTATTTCGATGGTTAGCGCAGAGAACAGACCGCGAGTTCGGTGAATATATAATCGTTTTCCTTGTCAAAAAACTGTTTGTTCGGTTTTCATTTTCCCCTGTGTGAAAAAAGGGAAAATTTTAGTTTCTTCATGCGTACTTCAATTGTGAAAGAAATGTTGTATTCAGCAAACAAAGCCTTGGTCCTTAATATACTGTAAAATTATAATCACATGTACAGGAAAGAATTGTT